CAAGTTATTTATGGTGATACAGATTCTGTTATGATTAAATTTGGTGTTAAAACATTAGAAGAAGCTATGGAACTTGGTCGTTTAGCTGCAACATTTGTTTCATCACATTTTATATCACCAATTAAACTTGAATTTGAGAAATGTTATTATCCATATTTATTAATCAATAAAAAACGTTATGCTGGCCTTTATTTTACACGTCCTGAGAAATATGATAAAATGGATTGTAAAGGTATTGAAACTGTACGACGTGATAACTGTGAACTTGTTGCTAGTTTAATTACAACATGTTTAGAAAAGTTACTTATTGAAAGGTTTGAATGAAAAAAACAAGAAAATTGATATCATTTTTTTTAATTCATTTTATTAGAGATCCAAATGGTGCTGTTGAATATGTTAAAACTGTTATTTCTGATTTATTATGTAATCGAATTGATATTTCACAATTAGTTATAAGCAAAGAATTAACAAAAACTGATGCGGAATATTCGAATAAACAACCACATGCTGAATTAGCAAATAAAATGCGTAAACGTGATCCTGGTAGTGCACCTAATTTAGGTGATCGAGTTCCGTATGTTATTATACCAGGAACAAAAAATCAACCGGCTTCTGAACGAGCTGAAGTAAGTTAATTCCCTGTTCTGTATAGATCGAGTTTTTAGTATTTTCTCAAAATTTATCCCTTACAAATTGTTTTAGGATCCAGTATATGTCTTAGATAATAATGTTCCAATTGATACAAAATATTATCTTGAACAACAAATATCTAAACCATTGCTACGTATATTTGAACCTATCTTAGGTGATTCAAAAGCTGAATCAATACTTTTACGTAAATATTCTTTTGAGAAAAAAGAAAAGTAAACCTATCTCATCGATAATTTTAGGTGGTGAACATACGACAGTTAAAACAGTAGTAACATCAAAAGTTGGAGGTTTAGCAGGTTTCATAACAAAGAAAGATAAATGTATTGGATGTAAAACTGTATTACAAGAACAAGGTAAGAATAAATTAAAATTCAATGAAAATAATTGATTTTTGTTTTTTTTCTATAAGGCACTGCACTTTGTTCATATTGTAAAGCAAAAGAAGGTGATTATTATCAAAAAGAAGTCGAAACATTACAAGAATTAGAAGAAAAATTTACCCGTTTATGGACAGAATGTCAACGATGTCAAGGTGCAAGACTTGAAGATGTTCTTTGCACAAAGTAAGCTTTTTAAAAGGAAAAAAGGGCCCTAGGACAGAACGTCGCATGGACAAAACGAATTGCTAGTACATTTTTTATGTTGGGCAGTGTATGTACGTGGGATATGAATATTCGATCTATCCTCACCCTCACCGGGCCATACGCCTGCGACGCTCTGTCCGGTCACCACTCTATTCTATTTTTATTAAACATAATGTACGACTTATTTATTTTTAGTCGTGATTGTTCCATATTTTACATGCGTCGTAAAGTTCAAAAAGATCTCGGTGATCAAACTCGTATTATTTCACGTTTTTCTGTTCCTGCTCTCAATTGGTAAACAAATAAATGCATCTTCATGTCAGATATGAAAATAATCAAGAGAATCAATTTATTCATCCTTTATTGTACAGATTATATCTTGTATTAAAACCCAACACAAAAAAAAATGTTGTAAAATGAATTATTATTATTTTTTCTGTCTTTTTTTTTCTAACTTGTGTTGCTAGTCAAGTGAATTCTATATTTTTTTTTCTATATATATAATAAAGATGACAAGAAACAATTAAAAGAAAAGAAAAATTTAGTTTTTAGTTTTTGATGATGTTGGAACAAATGATATAATTGACGGGAATTTTTGTTGACGTTCTTGTTCCATTTTAATATTTGATGATGTTAAACAAATTGAACAAAAACATGGTAAATTAAGTTGAGCTTTAGGACATATTATTTGAGATTTATCTTGTTCAGTTTTATTTTGATAACATGTTGCTAAATGTTGTCTCATATCATCAAGTGATTTAGTTAACATAACAATATAATTTCTTGCTAATAATAATGTTGCCATTTTTGATAATTTACGTACAGATGGATTTCTTGCATAGGGAATAACTTCACGTAAACTATCTAAGGCTGAATTTAAATCATGCATACGTCGACGTTCACGTGAATTAATTTTTAAACGTAAATCTGTTGAATCCTCACCCATTTCACCATTGTCATTAAAAGGTGTTGATGAAGTACGTCGTCGTCGTCGATTTCCTGTTGATGAAGATGATGATGATGATGCTATATCAGTTGTTGATGGAGTTGGAGATGAATATGGAAATAAATTTGGAATAAATAATCCATTTGATTTTATTGGAGCTTGAATAAATGGAAGACCAAGTGGATATGTCATAGGTGGAAAAATTGATGGTATTTCATGATGATTTTCTTTATTATGACGATCATAAACTATAGATGAATTTTCATTTTGATTCATATTATCATCATCACAAACATTAAGTTCATGGTCTTCTTCACTGCTTGATGCCATGTTATCCAAGTTAAGTCGTATATCGTGATGTTCTTTTACAATTGAATGAAGCAGAAAAAAAACTCGAATGTGTCAGCTCGAAATCCGTTGACAATCTGTTAGCATATTTTTTTCCGTATTTGTCAATTTCTATTCACTTTCACTCTCTTACAAAATAACCAATCATTTTATGAACCGAATATTCAATAGTCCAATCATATTGATAATATCTGTTGATGAAGAGAAAAGAAAAAAAAGAATTGAACAACAATCTTTTCTTTTTTTTCTTCTTGTCCTTCGTCATCTTGTTTTGTACAGTGAAAGAAAAAAGAAATTGCCGTTCATGTTCAATTGACAATCATTAAACGAAACATGAGAATATGTATTGAGATCTCAGATTACAATCACACATGCTCGACAATATAGCAAAACATGCTTGATCATAAGACTGATGTGACATTTTTTTTATCCTACACAGATCGATCATCGGGTGGTCTTTATTGAAATAAGAATATAAAATCCTAGAAATTGTTCATTTAATGATAAGATCCATGATGAATGCATTAAATTCAGCGAATTATCAAATGAATATTTGGTTTATTTTCTTTTAATTTTTAACAAAGATTTCACTTTCTTTTGAGTTTTGAACTCATAATGTTATCTCCAAAGATATTTTATGGAAAGATTCAGAATTTGTTCAAGGAAAAATCGATGTAGGAATGAATTATATATAAAGCATGAGACAACCTTAAATCAACATTGATATTTATACTTTCCACTTGTTCTAATCAAGCTGTTTATTTGGATTTCAAGACTAACACATTTATGATTTAGAAAAATAACTAATTGTCAGAACTATTTTTTCTCTTTTTTAATCTGTATTTTATTATAGAGCGTTGATTTGACAATATAGTTAGATTTTATCATTAATCAATATTTACAGAATGTTGTCTTGTTAATGAATACGGCTGTTGCCAAATGTAGACAAGTATCCTTTTTCTATATGAAAAGCACAGATGTGA